TGAGTCGTTCTTGACTCCAGGTGACTGCCTGGACAAGTCCCTGCAGTTTTCTTGGCAAGGAGTTTTAGAAGAGGTTTGCCATTGCCTCCTTCCTAGGGCTGACAGAGAATGACTGGCTTTGTGCCTAAGGTAGAACTTGAAGTTACCGTCTCCTGGTTTCTAGCCCAGTGCCTTTAACCATTACACCAAACTCTCTCCCTCCCCCCCCATCTCTCTCTGTGTTTGTCCCTCCCTCTTTTACAGAGTTGATATGCAGCTCTAATCCCAACCTACTCCGTAATTTAGATTAAGACAAAACAAAATATAATCAATAAATCTAAATCAATATAATACAAAATCTCAATATAAAACCCTGGGAATAGCTGCAATCCATCCCCCATCAGCAGTGGGCAAGCATATCATTCAGCCCCTAGGACTTGTTTGAACAGCTGACTCTTTATAGACCTCCTACAGGCCAACAGAGAAGGTATCATTCGAATGTCTGGAGAGATGCTGCTCCAAAGGAAGTGGTAGGAATAGAGAAAGTGTGCTTGTACAGTCTGTGGGGATGATACTCCATACCCATCTGGTCTGTATTTATGACATTCCAGATATATCTACAGTAGCCTTTCCCCTTCTTGATGCCTTCCAAATGAATAAGGACTAAAAACCTCAGAAGTTGAAGCCAAGAAGTTCCCTGATGGACAAGACTGGTTTATTACAACAAGTCACTATGCTACAGCCTAACATTATGTCAACTTTCAGAGACATCTGGGTGCTAGTCAATATTGATACCAATACTTACATACACGTACATCAATACACGGCCATACGCACAAACACTTACACATACGTATATGAAGTTTCCTTAGCTCGGTGTGTGCGTGGAGTCAGAGGATAAGGATTTCATTGTTTAAGCACTGATGCAATACAGGAAGCTAACCAAACAGGTAAATCATGCAAGCTGCACAGATCTGCTTCTATCACAAAGGACTTTCTGTCTTTTTCCTTCTTACTATGTCGAATTTATCTCTCCATCTGGCCATACCTAATAAATCCCTACCATTTATGCTTTGATGTAGCAACAAAGCATGGCCCTTATTTATTTTGTATTATCGTTGTGCTACGTGACCCCCTACTTACAGCCTGAGTGGGATTCACCATTATTTATTTACTTTCATCGGTGTTCTCTTCCTCCCAGCAGCAGCAGATGACCCAGCATAATTCAGAAGGAAAAAAACAAAATAAAACAAAAACAGAAATCAAACTTCCAAAAGACAAACACCTGAAACCTTTCCTCAACCAATCCTCTAAGATTAATACCCCAGGAGATGTCATATTTCTACAGCGTCATCAATTCAGGGAGAATAAATGAACCCAACCAAAATAATAATTATGTGATGACTGTGATATTATTTAATATGCTTTCTTTGTGGATGTGTGGGTGTGTGCCTTTGAGTCAGTATTGACTCCTGGTGACTGCCTAAACTAGTCCCTGCAGTTTTCTTGACAAGATTTCGGAAGTGGTTTGCCATTGCCTCCTTCCTAGGGCGGAGAGAGAGTGACTGGCCCAAGGCCACCCAGCTGGTTTCATGCCTAAGGCAGGACTAAGAACTCATGGTCTTCCTGTCTCTAGTCTGGTGCCTTTAACCACTACACCAAACTGGCTCTAATATGCATTATTCGCCTAAGAAACCCAGTTTTTTCTAGAAGGATACCTGGATATTTTCAAAGCGTAAATAAATCGTGTATTTCAAAAGGGCATCGTCCCTGTATGCAAACTCGTTACTTGATTGATTACAGGTAGACCTCACTTAGTGACCACAGTTGGGACTGCCAACTCCATCAAAACATCATGTGACTATGATGGACTTACAACGTCATTTTCCATTTGGTTGTTAAGCGAAACATCACATGACCCTGACTTGCAATTTCACTGCCAGCTTTTCCATTGATTCTGCTTTTCAGAAGCCAGCTGTGAAGCATGCAGATGGTGATCACATGACCGCAGGACACTGTGATGGTCATAAATGCCTGCCAGTTGCGAAGCACCTGAATCTCGATCATGTGACTGTGGGACGCTGCAACGGTCATGTGAAGCCCCATTGTAACTTTGAATGGTCACTGAACAGGGCAGTTGTTAAGTGAGGTCTAACTTAAAGGATATCTATGTTTTTAATTCATGTTTTAAAATAAATGGATAGATAGATGAAGAAACAAATGAACTAACAAACCATTAAACAAACGAACCAGAGAAAGTGACATTTATTTCATGCATTTATTTACCATTCTTGAATATATATATTGTATATACTCAAAATGCAAATGGAATCATTCATAGGTGCTCTACATTTTTATGCCCACAGCATTCCCAGGTGATAGATAAGGGTGGGGGTCTTCTTAAAGTCTCCTGGTTGGTAGAGTTGATTTCGGCGTGTTAGCTCTAGGTAGCCCCTCTACTTAGCACAGCACACTAGTCTTCGTTCTCATTCAATAAAAGAAAATTCACACACGACCAAGAGCACTTCTTCACAGGATGCAGAGTGCCACTCTCCGTGTTTATCTGCTATCACACATGCCTTGGTTCCATCAGCGTTGTTTGGTTCTCCCTCAGCCCAGTGGGTGAACTTTGGTGAATCCTGGATGACAAGATAGGCTGTTTTGTCGTGCCTTTCCAAAACGCTTGCAAAGGCCTTATTCTCATTTTCTAGTTGAGGAGAAGGAATATGGCCACCGGCTTCGGTACATGTCAAGTTGAGAATTTCAAAGTTCCTTTCTTGCTTGTTAGTCACGTATAACCTTTCACTGCCACTTCCAAAAGACCGAGCTAGAAACACAATAAACAAGCAAACGTTTGATTGTACAAAATGCTCTACAGATCATGTTTCTTTCACTTGAAAATTTGTTTCCCCCTCCCTAGATACAGGGCAGCAAGCAGATTTTACAAGAAGAGAAAGCAAGAAAGTTACATTTTAGTACTTAGTTCTGAAAGGAAGTACCATGAAGAGCAGCAGAGAGAAAAATCAAGGAATTGCAAATGGGCCAAACAACAGACACCATTTCGCTTTTAAAAAATGCAATAATCTGGTCCTTTATTATTTGGAGAAAAGCACGGTTCTGGACATTCAACCAAGCAGTCCTGCTTCTGATTTCAGAATAGGACCTTACTCTAGTTTTCTGCTGAAAATACCCATCTTCCCAGGAGTGCCATTTAATGTAAACAGTGTGCTTGTGGGCAAGAAGCTGAGCAGGAAGCTTGCTGGCATTTCTTCAAAAGAAAAGTGGTTTGCTTAAGCAAGCTCTTTCAGATGCATGCGATCCTAGAATGTATCCTAAAAGGTGTAATGTGTCCTAAAAGAGCAGAAGACTCTATGCGACAGCATTTGTCAAACTTCAGAACATATCTGGGAAGAAAGCATGAAGCGGGGGTGGGGTGGGTTTTGTATTTGGGATTTTTATTCCTGTAAGCCTCCCAGAGTCACCATGAGTGAATTGGACAGCCATATAAATTGCTTAAATAAATAAATAAATAAGTAAGAAGAAGAATCTGTACATGTTTCAGCGTCCTTCTGAATAGGAAAGGTATTGGAAACTTGGAAAAAGGGACTATTGGCAATGTTCTGAATTCATAGGATGGACACATTCTGGACTGGGTGCACGTACAGAATTTCTCTGCTATTCCTGAAAGGATCCTGATTTTTTCCCGACTTTTGCAGGGTCTGAAAAAAATGCCTCTTATTTAAGGAATGGACTCAGTCACCTCAAGGTGACTCTTGAAGGGGCATTCTTTTTACAGGGAAATGGAAAAATCAGGGATCTTTAATGGATAGCATTTGTTCCAAATGATTAATACTATTTCATTTCCTCCTGAAAAAAAGACACAGTTCCGTCAAGAGGAGCAATCAACTTACATCAGTTGATACGTTCTCCAACTGAGTTGGGCAGCAAGGCAATGCAGATTCTTCAGACATAAACTCAGTAATAGTTATTTGTTTGTTTGTTTGTTTTATTAAACAAATTTATATAGCTGCCCAACTCACACACGATGACTCTGGGCGGCTTACACAAACAAAGTTACAGTAATAATGACAACATTATTACAGCAATAATTGGCAACCCCCCCCCCCAAAAAAAAAGTTGAAAAAGGGCTACCAAATTTAGACTTCAGAACTTCAGATGACTACCAGGTGGCAAACAAAAGATACCGAAAACTGTAGCCCTTTGCTGCCACTTGTGATCATCTGAATTTTTGCAGCACCAGATTTGGTATCTTTACTTTGAGTAATACTCAACATGAGTAAGTTTCTCACTGTTAGCACATCCAAATGAATGTTAAATCATTCAAGAGATCTATAGTTTTTTGGCCATTCTCTACGCAGTTGGGAAAAGAGCACAGAAAGAGTGTGGGAGTATCTATCAGGCGTTTGGAGGCTGCAGACAGAGGTACAAAGCTGAAAACTAGCCTAAGAGAGGATTCATATGTGGCTTTTGTTGTTTTCATTCCATAGGACAAGACACAACCCAGCAATAAGCAATAAGGGAAGCCCATGAGGGAGGGAGGGTAAAACGGTGGCCTCAACCACACACTCAGAGCCCCACATTTTTCTACATATGTGGCATGTGTGATAGGCTAAAAAAAGATTGCACAGTCACAGCCACCATCTTGACTACTTTGACCCCTGCCCCTATAGACACTCTGGTAAGAGAGAGGTGGCTAGAATTCAACACGTAATTTGGAGGAAAAGCCAGGTTTTCAAGTACCTTACCTTTGTGGACTGTAAAAAAGGCATTTGACACGTGCTCTACTTTTTCTTCAAGTTTGTGTACTTTTTCAACCAAAGAATGCAGGACTAGGAAGGAAAACAGCATCACTTTAATGGAGTCGCAGAAGGCAAGCCGAGTTAAACCAAACTGCTCCTAATAGGTTGGCATTGAAACAGTCAACATCTACTCTTTCTTGGACTTGCCTACTCTTCCTTCAGTTGAATGCTCGGCATCTCAGCTTAATATGTATCAGAAGAATGCATGAAACATCTTGGGGTGGGGTAGGGGTTAGATTATTGCCTCACTCTCAAGCCTACCTGGACCTTCCCCCATGTGAACAAGAAGGAAGTCGGCAAGTCTGCTTTGCTGACTATTCCATTGCAGGTTCTGAAGGCTCTTCCAAAGAATAGGCGTCCTTGCATTACAAGTATAGCTTCAGCCCTGATATGCTTATTTCTATGGTTACGATCTGTTTGTTGGTTTGGATTTAGGGAATAAAAGATCTCTGAGGAGCTCTTTTGCCAACTCTGCTTTCCAGGAGCCTTTTTTGCATTCAGATAACAAGGAATTGCATGCCTGCCTTCCCACTTCTGCCCATGTGCTAAGCCCCCTCCCCATTCTCATATACTGTATGGGGTTAGGAGTATCACTTTGTCCGTCAGGATCCGTTTCATGTCCGTTGGCCAGAGATGTCCCCAAAAGAAGAAGACTGGACACCAGAATCAGATGCATCTTTTGACCGTGCAACCTATACAAATCATACAGACAGAGTTACTATGGCATGCAAGTGATTTTAAACTTTAGATTCACATTGTACAGGTAATACATATCAAAAGCATCATTTCATGCACTGTCTACAATCTATGCAAGCCCAGTCTAATCTAAGACATTTTGATACATATCTGCAGAAATTACTGTCTTCAACAAACTACAAGCATCCATTAATCATACTTTCTAGCCCATCCATTAAACCTAGGGATGAACATTCCAGCAGGATGCCTCTTAGAAACTATAATGTTCTTAATTAGCTATCGTACATCACAAGCAAGTTGTTATTTTGCACTCACACTGGGATTTCTGCTGTTCTAGATGAGGCTCACAGAAACTGCTTTCTGTCCAGTGCAAGGGTACTTTTATATCAGTCATGGATTGGGCAACATGAGTTCTGTGCAAATTGATTGCTCAAGGTGGTGCCACTGTCTTTTACCACCAACCCCCATGGTAAATTATGGCTGTTTATTTAAGAACAGTCTGGCCTTTCTCATGGAATGTTGAGAAAATCTGGAAATTCTCCAGTCAGAAGGGATCGAAAATATGAGGAAATACTGGACACTACAGGGTGTGTGCGTGTGAATGAATGTCCCTGAAAGATTTTGCAATGCTTTGCAATAAAACACCAACCCTTTACATTTCATAGCTTTGCAGAAAGATCCCTTCATGTTTACACTAAACAAATCCAAAATTTTGCAAACCACTATCTTCCACTTAGTCAGAAAGAGATACCTTGAAAAAGGCTGGAAAATTCTTTCATTTTAGCTGGTGCTTGGACTGGTAGAGATACTGAGACAGAGTTGCGGGAAGCTCAGCTGATAAAATGGATTTGCTTCTTCTGAAAATAATGTTTGGTGCTTGGAATACTCCTGAACAGATTTAGAGGGTGATTTTTAGTGGTTAGAATCTGACAATTTCAATTTTTCTTGTTCCTTATTCCTGTAGGTAAGGTCTCCTTCCATGCCTATCTGCAACTTTTAAAAAAGTATGCCTTTTCACTAATGCGTATCCATATGCCTTCATATGCCTATCTGCAACTTTTAAAAAAGTATGCCTTTTCACTAATGCGTATCCATATGCCTTCATATGCCTATCTGCAACTTTTAAAAAAGTATGCCTTTTCACTAATGCGTATCCATATGCCTTCATTTACAGATAATTGTCCACTTTTTCTCTAATGTAATCTTATCCTGTAAGAGGTTTCTTTAATATTATGCCATGTTGGATGTTTTTTGTGTGTGAGGCACATTTATGTACATTTTTGGCTTGGAAAATGCATCTGAAATCTCTCAGAAGTGCGAATGCCCTAGGGTAACTGCAGACCCATGGCTATATTTAATTTGAAGGTGCATATTTATTCTTGCCCAAATGCACACAGAATCTAATTTTACTTTATCCCTAGCTTTACATTGCCTCTTACCATTTCCGATTGATGGCACTATTCTTTTCCAGGAAAATATGTCTGGGCAACTGTCTTTTATGCATTGCATGTAGAGAAATGAAAACATAGTGACGGAACCTAATGATTAGGGACAAATCTATTAAAAGAGACTGCCTACATGCTGAACGATCTCCAAATATGTTGGTGGGCCAAATGCAACGGTGTGTGCAGAGGGTTCCAAAAGGCCCAGATAACAAGGAGATTGAATTCTCAACCCTCACCCTCTTTTTATGGCCACTATCTTGATTTTTTGGAAGCCTTCCTCTTCCCGCCCCAGACACCTGTGGTCAAATGCCTATAACTTCTTTAAAAAGAAATGTCTCCTTGAGGCACATAATATTAGCGCTTGCTCGCTCAGCTTCTCTTTCCCAATAACAGCATCCATTGTCAGTCAGCAAAAGGAATTCTATATTTTGGGGTGAAGTAAGGTCGCTCTTCTTTTTAATCCTTAGGAACACAAAATTAACTTTTGAACATATACAAAGTGCCACTTCAGAAGGATGGGAATGTGGTAAATTATCCAGGGACATCTATTTTTCAGTGAAAAAAACCTTAGTTTTAAATTTTAAAGCTATTCAAATGTATCTCAGGGTAATTTGTTAATTATTATAGGATTTGAAATGAATTGAGGAAGAGACATTTTATAACCTTATGTGAAAAAATTCTTTAAAACCCTGAAATACCCAAGACGTTTTGGGGAATCAGTGCCTACAGATTTGCATACCTTGCTGAATATTGACTTGAGCTTTTTCCATCTCAACTCTTACCTGTTTTGTTCTCTTGTTCCCTCTGTTGGTCTTATAGGGAATATAGGGATAGTAAAGAAAAAATAATAATTACTTAAAAAAAAAATTATTATGGAAGTTCTACTGTATTTGTTTTTGTTTTACAGTGGATAATTTTATCATATTTTACTTTGTGATAATTACCAGCAATTGGAATATCTTGATGATATATAAATCCCATAAAATAGTTAAATAAGCAGTTAAATAACCACTAATTTGGCCAAGCCATGAATAAAATGATATTAAAAGGGACTCTAGGATGACCTTTCCAAGCAGACACTACCTAAGGTTGCTTAAACATCCTTCAGCCTCCCTATTTCCATGGCTGATTGTTGACTTTTATGAAGACAATTATAGCATGATAAATTTTATTTGTTAGTGTGACATAGAGTCTTTCCTTCAGGAGCTCAGAGTGGCGTACATAGGACTACCCCATTGTTCCCTACAAAACAGTCCTCTGAGAGAGGGTTGAGAGAGGAGGACTGGCCCAAAGTCACCCAGGAAACCGCCATGGCTCAGAGGGGGCTAGAACCGAGGTCTCCATGCTCCTAGTCCAGGACCTTCACCCCACTGTCTCTGCATCGGGCTACTCTTCTGGGAAAACACTCCCTGGAAATATCCTCTTGTTGTGGAATTTTTGCCAAAGACAGGAGCACAACGCTGAGGAGAAGAACCATGTTGATCTTTGGGTGCCAATGATCATTGGGTGCCTGTTTTCAAGAAGGAGAGACCCTGAACGATAGAAAAACATAGAATTTATACACTTTTGAGGTTGAGAGGTGGAAATCTGAGCGATCTGATTGGAGGATAGGTTTGGATAGGTGTTAAATGGGGGATAAATGATTTTTCTATTGTGAGATAAGAACCACAGCAAACCCTTAAGCAGACGGGGATGGCCCTCCCATTGTTTCAATAGGATAGTGTTAAGAGGCTATTTTTGGCAGTGGAACCTGGTCACTCTTGGTTGTGCAACAGCTTGAAGCGGATCCTGTTTTGCATGAGTAAAGAATGGCAGGAAGTGGAGAAAAGAGATTGCAGGAGAGGCAAGAGGGAGGGGGCAGAAAGAGAGACAAGGGGAGGGGGGGAGTAAAGAGGTTCCTGCAGAAGAGTCAAGGGGAAGGGGGGGGGAGAGAGTTTCCAGCTTTATTTACAATGATGCAAGGAATTTTAAAAATTAATATTCAGTTGAAACAAGAACTTTTTTAAAATTAGGAATGGTGAACATGTGAAAAGAGGTTCCTGCAGAAGAGTCAAGGGGAAGGGGGGGGGAGAGAGTTTCCAGCTTTATTTTATTATTTTTCCATCCCACTTTGCTCATCTTCAGAGGAAATTAACCAAACGGAACCCTTTTTTATGCATATTCTCCATCTTTCTTAATCTTATACTTTTATTTATCAGTAAGCTTGTTTGTGTGCGTGCCTGTGATATCTTTTGCCCCTCCTTTCAATATTGAATGCTTTCTCTCTTTCCTCTCATCCTTTTTTAGAGCAAGAGATACTTAAGAATTAGGAATTGGGACTCTCCTTTAATTTAGAAGAGAATTTTTACAAAGTGATGAAGTTATATGTCACCGGAGAAATTGTCTAGGATGTATAAAGGTACTTCTAATTATTGATATAAATGTGAAAAGCAGGAAGGACACTTTATCATGCATGGTGAACATGTGAAAAAGCAAAAAAAATATTGGACACAAATATATACAATGATGCAAGGAATTTTAAAAATTAATATTCAGTTGAAACAAGAACTTTTTTAAAATTAGGATTAATGGATACTCAATTAGAAAAGACTTGTGGATGATTGTTTTTATATATGGTTACTGCGGAGGGGTTATTATATGCACAAAGATGGAAAAATACAGAAGTACCCACAATGGAAGAATGGATTGTGAAGATGGCAGAACTTGCAGAAATGGCAATATTGACCTGTTTGATTAGGGACGAAACAATAAGAACTTTTATAAAAGATGGGTAACCTTTTATGGACTTTTTGCTGAAAATGGACAAAAATGAATTGGTGATTTCTGGATCTGCTGATTGAAAAGGGTTGAATACGGGAAAACTGGAAATATATAATGTAATTTGAAAGGGGGAGAGATGATAAGTTTGTATCTACTGTAAAGAAGATCAGAAGCCGTGTCTTTATCTCTTTTCTCTTTTTCTTTCTTTACCTGCATTGTTTCTAGCATTTTTTTCCTCTTTTTATTTTCTCTTTATCTACTCTTTCTTGTTTATCTTTTAATTATGTAAAAACTTTAAATAAAAATACTTGACATAAGAATTAGGAATTGGGGCAGTATTGGAATCAATCATATTTTAGCCCAAGTAGAAATATTGGCACCCTTTTGGTGGAAAACACTTCTTGGCGGCAGCTAGACTTCCTCTATTGCAATTGATCCTGTCATGATAATATTTGGCCAAGCAAGTTAAGAGGTGGTGGGAAAGTTTTGAACAGTGGGTATTATTGCCCATGTCCCAACAACAATAGGAACTGGCAGGAAGTTCTCAGTCAGGTTGGGCAAAGATAGCCTGCAGTTGAAAGGAGAGACTTCTTTCCAACTTGGAAAAAGCCCCAGAGAAGCTTTTCTGTAATTTAAATTTAGGGACTACCCTCCCAAGACAAAAAAGTGCATTTTGCAAGAATTCTCCCACCACCAGCTCTCTTAAAACCTCCTATCCTCTGAAATAAACGCCTGTAAATGGCAAACATTGTCAAAGGGGAAGACCCAAAGAATAGTTCCCTGTTTAAGCCACAGTCGGTAGCAACAGCACCTACAGAATCCAGAGGTTCTTTCTGTCAAAATGATGAAACTTGTGTCATGACATCAAGGAGAAGCTCCACCTCTTATGTGGTGACATCATGACAATCTATAATAGGAGATGAGCTTACATCATTCTTCACATTTTGTCATTTGCTGCCCCCTCTTGATGCCCACATTTGGAACAATCTATAATTCCAGGGTTCAAGTTTGTCCTGCTGCTGATCTTAAACATAATTGTGTCTGTAAAGTCTTTTGCTAGGATAAACATTGATAATATCCTCTCTATAAGTAGCCCTTATGCATCAATCAATCAATCAATCAATCAATCAATCTCCTTTCCTCCTAGGTCTCAGTCCGGAAAGACAGAATTGAAAAAATACTTTTGGTCTGACACCTTATCGATGGTTTCCCAAATC